GAAGTGGTGAGAGCAGAGCTGCACCTTCAGGGAATTGAATTTGGAGCAGCATTTAATTTGAAATTCAAAACTGTGATTTGCTCACACTTGCCTCTTCTTACAGACCCTCTTTCCAGAATGAACAAGCGTGTTTATCCTTCAGCCCCCCCCACTCCTCCCATAGCAGGAGCTGCGCTCCAGTATTACCAAGGAAGTGAAGGGGTGAGGGGGGAAAACAGAGGAATGTGTTTATTGAACTATGAAAAAAGGCCCAAAATAAACCTAGCACTTGCGTAACTTTTGTTTTTCTATTGTACGTGAGGAAATCCTTTGCCTTTAAGATTCAGGCTGAATTTCTAAATTGCCAAAGACTTTATCCCAGGCTCTTAATGCACAAGTTACTTTATGAAAATGATTTTCAGTGTTTGAAAAAGACCTGCCCTCAGGGGGAAGTTGGAAGCACAGATTAGCAGGTTATCAGTAACTCTCACCTTCTCTACTAACATTTCCAGATGGACTTTTGATACTAACCAGACTGAAACACGGACAGATAAAACGTCAAAGCTTTCATCAGCATTCTGTACGCTCACCCCCTTTATCCCAAGGCACAATTTATTCTGTTATCATCCAGACACACGGGGAAGAACAAGGTAACCAGCTCCATCTGTCTTTGCTTGCCCGTGCATCAAGCATCCTTCCAGGGAGACGGAGCCTGTATGCAGATGTCGGCAGCTGGAAACAATCCGACTCGAGCCGACACACACACGTGGTGCTTTACCTCGGAGCAAACATCCACCTCCATACAGAGCAGCACTCCTCGTCGGCGCTGCTGGCCCCTTCCCTGGGGCTCTGCAGAAGATCGGGGCTGCGGTGAGGAGGCCGTGGGCAGAGGGAAGAGAGCACGGGATCGAACAGGCAGAGGGAAGGCATAGAAAGAACGTAGAAGGGAAAAAACCTGACAAATTTATACACTTAATCTAATTTTTTCTTTGAAAAACAAAGTTACTGAACATTTTCCCGTGTAGGAGTGTAACTGGGCCTCACTTTTGACTTTAAAAAGTTCAGAAGGACAGACCTCCACAAACAAAGGGTGTTCAGTCCAATATATGAATTCAGAGAAATGGCCAAGTGACAGGACATCACTAAGCGGGACTTAAGTAAAATGCGATGTGGGAAGCTCAACCCCACCCCACTCCCCCATCCAACAACAGGATTCTACTACCTCTACCCAAATGCTGAGAAACAGAGAAAAAAAAAAGGGGAAGGTCTTAGAGCAGTTCGTAAAAAAATGTCGAGTTTCATTCACGACTGCCTCTGACAAGTCCAATCCCAGTGTCAGCCCTCCACTACCCGCTGGCTTTACCGATCCTGCTTAAAATCACGTTACTGAGCTACCACACACAGTAGTTCAACTGCCGTTTCACGGAATTTACCAGTCTCTGTAGTGAAGAAGGAAACATCAACGCCAAAACAAGTACAAATCCTAATTATGCTCATTCCTCTGCAGCCAGCATCATCACAGTTTGAGGCAAAGGAAGCTTTGCTCAGGTGAACTTAATCACTCAGCTATCAATAAATCAGACAGTAATTATTTGAAGTTTTCTTTCTCCTCTTCCGTCTTCCGAACATGCTCTTAGCCAGTTAGTTCTGCAGGTGGCCAATCTCCATCAGAGGAAGGATTTTTTTGTTCACAATGCGATATTCTCAATGAAATCTTCAAACGGCCAGTCACAGCATAATTACAGGGCGGGGAGAAGTGCAAGAACTGGAGCAACTTTCAACATTTTCCACTGACTTTACTAACAGCTGCTTGCATTTGCGTCCAGAAACCGCGCAAATGAACTGACTGCTCCCTCCAGAGCAGGGCATGAGCCGTGCCAATTAAAGTACCAGGGAAAATAGAAAATAGGGCAAAGTCATTACACTTGAAGGAATGGTGTCAATTAAGGCACAAAGTTCTATCTACAAAAATGTTTACAGAGAATGGCAAGCAAAAGGAATTTAAAGTGAACCACTCTCTACAGCAAAAGATTTTTTTTTTAATAGTGATCAAAGCAAAAGTTCCCGATATGCTAAAAAAAGACACTTCAGATGCACTTATTTTTAGGATGCACTTCTTCCTGTAAGAGATCAAACTGCAGAAGACTGAACACTCTCCAGAAACCATTTGGAACCCAACCTACAGGACGAGCCTGAATTTTTGCTGAAGAGAAAGCAGCAACCGCTCAAGGCTTTCAAAGGGATGCAGTAATGCTCAGTGAAACGCAGCACCTTCTTTGCAAGTCAGGGAATTAAGCTGTCTGCCAGCAGCAAAGCAAGAGAGCCCCAAAACGCATGTCTAGGACCAGGCCTCCAGGTAAGTTGGGCATTTGCAAAATTTCTGTATTTTCCCTTAGAAACAAGCAGTGTAAAAAAAAAAATAAAATTAAAAAAAAATCAATCCTCTATGTTGTTGCAGAGTCTACATTGTGTCCAAGGAATTTAAACTCTCTCAAACAATATCAAGAGTCCTCTATTAAAAGACCAGCCAGGTATGTCTTTTTAAGATGTGCCCAGTAAGTTTCAAGCACAAGCCTTAGGAAGGCATAAAATTTGAATTTCTATTTTGAACAAAATAATCAGGATTCAAATTAGGAAACAAATTAGTAGAAAGGAAAGATTTTAACAGAAGTCAACACGAAACACATACTGCTGTTTTTCAGAGTGGGAGCTTGGGCAATACACGTAGTACTAAATTTCAAGTTATTTCCTTTAATAAATTGAAAACTGGTTTATTCTCAGTTTTTCAGAAAACGATTTTAAGTATTAGCACCTACATTGTCAGTAACTCAGACTTAAGATTTACACTTTAAAAAAAAGCCATGCTCAATCAATTCAGTGATCCTATATTCTTCCATTTTTGAGTATTTCAGTAGAGCACCGAGAAGGAAAGAGCAACACATCAGTACTAAGCGAGCTCTGTTGTCAGCTGCATGACATCAGTGACCAGGCACCTCCCTGGGACAGAATTCAAAAGGTCAGAGTTTTCCAGCACACTCCAATCACCTCCATTTTAGTTATTTAAGGTGGAAATTTCTATGCAAGTTTATAAAACCCATCCAGCTACATGTTAGTTTATTAAACCACAGTTGACCTGAGATGCAATTAGGATTTGACATTTTTCCATACTTAGTTCACAAGTTTATTATGAAAAACACTGCAGCTCTGTCCTGCAGTAACATTGTTTTACAGAAAAAAACAGTTCTGTTCAAAGTAATTCACTATCCTTGGACAATTACAAGGGACAACATGGTAGGGCAAAGAGTGGAAAAGGGAACTGAGTGCAGACAAAAAAAAAAATCAATACAATTAAATTAAACAGTATTCCCTGAAAATAAAACAAACAGTTTCAGAACAAATATGAGGCCTTGGTACTTATTTTAAAAATGTTCTTTAAGCTTCAATGATTGTTTGCTGCTACCCTTATCTACAGTCATGCTGAATAAAGCTATAGCTAAATGGAAAGTTAAATGTATTCACGAGGTGTTAATGTCTACATCTTATTATTTGCAGTCTCTCAGAGAAAGCAAAAGTAACTACAAATAACGCTATGCCAGAAACTGGTTTCTTGACCAACAATGTTGCTTCAGCATGCAATGAACTGGTTCATTCTAAAGTGGTCACAGTTGTTGACGACAAGAGGCTTTGTATTTGAATATGGCACGTCTTTTGGTCCATGTGAAAACAAGTTTGAATGTTAAATATTTTCTGACACTTTGGAGTTACTGTTGCTCTTCCCATTTTCTTTAGGTCAACATATGGTTCATGGCAATACTGTACAGGTCTAAAATCTCTTTACAGGAAGTAGTCTGGGGTGCGACGAGTAACATGCGGTTCACCTCTACGTGGTGCTGGATCGAACTGCAAACTGAAAAGCACAGATATTAATGAAACCACATGAGTTCAGTTTACATCCAAGGTATGGTTTATAACTGAAATGCAGTAGCAGTGGTCTTAAAACAGGTATTTTCAAGGTTTTTTTCAACCAATTAAAGTCTTCTAGATCAAGCGTTCAACTTCTTCCACTTCTTCTATTAATGTGTATCTATAATCCCCACAGTTTAAACTCCTCTTACGATTACTACTAAGGACTGGAGAAAAGTGAATCTTAGCTTTAAGACTCACAGATTGGTCAAACATTAGTATATGTTTAGAAAGTTAATGTCTCCAGTAACTGCCAAAGGGGGCAGATTACACAATGTTTTTGCCTGGTTTACTAGTAAAGTTGCTGTTGAGGTAGTTAATTATGAGTCTCATTAAAGAAGCCACCATCCTAACATCTGAAGAATTCTAAGATTCCCAAAGTCTCTTGCCCTTGACCAACAGGAGGGCATTACCTCAGATGTGACAGAGTACTCCTACTCTCAAATCACATCCCTCTACAGTATTTCATTGAACTCCAGTTTTACAAAACAAAACCGAGCAGTCTCACTTTAACCTGACATACAAGATGTCAAACACAACTGTTCCTGGTATTTGACTCTAAGACTTTAGATGTGACTAACCCAACAATTCCACATTCACCTCACCTCCCAAAAGCATAACAGGAAAAACCATACACAATACCTTAACACTATAACTAGTGGTACAGCGACTATCTTTAAAATCATAGGCAACGTAAATCTCATTTTTAAACATACTTACAAGGAGTATTTTAGAGTATCATCAAGTTCCATAATTGCAGCCTGGTTGCCACAACGGTAACAATAGTTTGGAGCACTGAAAATTGTTACTACATTCCGATCGTGGCACCAGTTGTACCCCTGGAGAGGAAAAGAAAATAATTATGACAGCCAAGTTCATTTGTTGTACCCCATATAACCATATGGCTACTAACTGAATTTTTAATGCGCAACCCCCTAAGTGGCATTTGTAGTGTCATTTTAAATAAGATTAAGACTGTATCTTTATTTCTCTTCTTGACAGAAAAAGCATAAGAAGGAATTTTGGCCTTCATATGTTGCTTCTTACTAGTAAGCATGAACTAAACATATGTTTAAAAAAAAAATCAGCAAGAATTCTCCATTGCATTAGCATTAAAAAATTAAAACAGCAATTCTGAAGTACACAATCTATTCTGGATCTTCAGCTGTGATCACCAAAACCACTAGAGACTAAGAACAAAACCACACTTCCAAGGTAAAAAGGAAAAAATACATCTTTTTTCAAGGCACACGTATTTGTGTGCATTTTCTTATCAAGGGACTCAGCATTTACGTTTATAAACCTTTTTACGTACACAGAAATGCAATACATCTACTACTACAGTCTGTTTTGGGATGTTACTGTAAATTTTCAGAAAGAAGGCCAAAATAAAGTTACTCCCCTGTCACATTGAGAAACTCCTTTAGTAGCACATGAATACTGACAAAGTAGAGTTTCTGGAAGGCTCTCAGCTGGATCACCAGTTGTCACAGCAGCACACACACATCTCTGACACAGAGGACAGTATTAATGGACAGACTACGCAATCAAAAGTTTAAACACATAGGCTATCCTGCTTACCTCCATTACCAACTGATGAGCTCTGGAAACCAACGTAAGGCCATTAGCATGGTTAAAGGTTTCTGAAATATCCTGTCCAAATGTGTAACCTGCACCTCGAGGAGAAATTCCCCAGCCACCACGATCATCTGGATCTGACCATAGCAAGTCACACATTGGGCCCTATAAGAGATGTAGATGATGTTTCAGAAACAGAGTGAAAAAAACCCAGAACCAAACAAAACCCAAAAAAACCCTGCACACACACCACCCCTGCACAACTTGTTGCAGCACCTCGTTAAGACTTAAAAGAAAAATGCCTATCAACTACAACAGGTGGTACAGTTGACACTTGAAATTCTTCATCCAGGTTAACTTCTTGGTAGTATTTTCATAGAAGTAGTTCTCACCTCCAATATCCTAAGTCATACCTGTTGAGACTCTAGGCACACTAGAATATGTTTCTTTCTTTAGGCAAGAACCTGCCCCCTTACTTTTCCTTCAAAACACTAGAACAGGCACTTTCATATTGCTAAGTTGTTTTGAATCCCATTTTCAGCCTCTGTACTCAAATACCCAACCAACGCTGACTCATGAATCCCATGAATTTAGAAAATTATTTTTCAGTACCTCATGGGGAACTTCCTGCAAGCGATCAAGTGCTCTGATGTGATCCAGTGTATCTATCGATGGAGAGAGGCCACCATGTAGACAGAAAATCTGAAAGAGATATATGAAGATTATCTCAGTTATATTCATTATATCAGTGCAATTATAATTTTTTACTATAAATGCTTAGGAGAAAATCTGCAAGAAATTCCTTTCAAACTGACAGAATACAGTGTTAATAGTTCCCTTTACAACTAGTAACATGGAGCTTTGTCAAATATCAACCTACCTGGCCATCCACCAAGGCAGTTAGAGGCAGGTAATCAAAAAGGTCTGTAAAGTATTTCCAAACATTTGCGTTTCCATATTTTCTTAGACATTCATCATAGAAACCATATACTTGTGTGATTTGCCTGCTTTCATGGTTCCCTCGAAGAATTGTGATACGTTCACGGTAACGGACCTAAACACAAATTTTAGAGGCATCAAAATACATGTGTCTTCCGCCCAAAAAACAGAATTTCCACCCCTCACCCCCGATCAAAAGCAAATAAAGCAAAAAAACCCAAACCCTTTTTAAGATGAAGATTCAATTATAACCTTTGAGAAAAGAAGGGAAAATTCATTCAAATCTTCAGCTGCTAGTACTTTTGAGGTTAATCACAAATTTTACTCACTGTTACTAGAGGATTTCACTACACCTCTGCATTAAGCCGATCTCTTCAAGCAAATTCTTAAAGATTGCCATTTAGGCAAGTAAAAAATAAACACAGTACTCATTTTAAAAGAGTTCAGGCTTGCACCTGAACATTAATTTTTTTTTCAGAAGTATCTTAGAAAACTAAGATAGGCAACATTTCAGGTTTTGTGCCTATAATACTGATGTAGTACAAATCATAATAAAGCGTAGTTAGCACAGTACTTATAAATTTTTACAGAGAATTGTACAGCTGAGAAAAGTTACCTTAAGAGCTACAAGCAATGTGACTGTTTCCACTGAGTAATAGCCTCTGTCAACATAGTCCCCCATAAACAAATAGTTCGTGTCTGGTGATTTGCCTCCAATTCTGAAAAGTTCCATGAGGTCGTGAAATTGTCCATGGACATCTCCACAGACTGTGACCGGACATCGTACTTCCTGTACATTAGATTCTTTTGTCAAAATTTCTTTAGCCTATAAAACAAAAACACACATAAATTGTCAATTTGTCTACAAACAGTCATTTTATTCAAAGTACGCTCTACCACTTCCAGCTCTCTACTAACTGCTCTCTTTATGAATGCTTGTCCCTTCCTTGCGTGAAGCACCTGAGGTAAGAGTTTCTCTTTACTTAAAGTAAGATTTTTCATTATACACCCTGTGTTAGTAACAGAGATTTGGTTTGGTGTTTTCTTCCCCTCCTTGAGGAGGGTATTTCAGGATTAATGTCCAGCATAAAACAAACTTCAGACTTCCTACAAAAACGGTTCCATGAAGCAGAAAACAATGATCATCACTGCTGGAACTGAACAAGTTTGGAAGTATTTAAAAAAACTAAATCTAAAAATCATGCCAATGTCCTCTCCAACCCTCCAAAAGCCTGAACTCAGACACGGTCAAAACTGAGACTCTCCCTCGGGGAGGTGAGCACAGCCGTATCAGCTAGCAAGAGCTCCCAGGGAGTTCTACAACTTCCATCGTCTTCCTTCAGAAGACTGTTTGCCACCCATCTATACACACAGCTTTGTATGCAAGGGCAGGGTCCTACATGAAGCAGAAGCAAGAACGTAACTACCATCCAGTGGTATCAGCAATGGCAGAGCAGGTGGATCACCTGCACAAGCTTTCTGAAAAAGTTTTGTGTTTAAGCACACACGAGTAACACCGAGTTGTGACTTTATAAACCTAAGTAGGGAAACATCTTTGTCATCCTCATTTCTTCCACAAAATTGCGTACATAAAAGTTGCAGACAAAGGCAATTCATATGAAGAAGCACAAGGTAAAATACAGCATCAGAAAGGTGATTTTGAAATAATGCAAGAATTCCTTAATCATACCATCACATTGCCAGTTGTTAGTTTGTTCTCAGAAGAGTCACCAAACACATGCCACAGTAATTTTCTAAACCAGGAGGGTATTAGAAATATAAATAGTAACAAGTTTACCAGTTAACTTCTACAAAGATTTCCATGCCTTTCAACCGCCAATGTTCCTATTCCAAAAGGATCCAGGGTTTTTTTACCTCATTACCAGAATGACAAGAGACTATCTAAAAACTGTATTCTATTTTATAACCAAAGGTGCCTACAAGACTTGCAGAAACAGCACCAAATACCACCGATGCACAGGCCACGCTGAATCCAAAATACCCTGAAGCATACACCAGTATGAGACACAGGTGGAAGAGCAACACCGCATTCGTTTTAGGGTCACTTTTCTTAACTTTCTCAAACGTAACCTGACAACTAAAGCAGCATGCTCATTCTTGGAGGGGTTCTGCTAAGCAAAGAACTATTTTGAGACACTAGGAAAAAAATGCATCATGATCTGAAGAGCATTAGATTTTAAAAGGTTAGGAAAGAAACATTTGAAGTTAAAATCTAAACAGTAATTAAATACTGGATATTGATGTGAGTCAAGCTACTAAGAACCATGCTGCTGTGTCCAAGTTTCCACCCTACTTATGAATCCATGAGCTGGACAGTGACTGACATCCTGCCCCAAAAGTGGTCTCACTGTCCTCCACGTTGTCCAGGCTAACCACCGTGGTCACCACTTCAAACAAGAAAAGCGCCAGCAGCACACAGCTTCGTGATGCAGATTCACAAAGTCCAACGTTTCATTCAACGCTGGAAAGAAATGCAAAAACGCAACCCTGGTTAAGCAGCCTGCGCAACACAGCGCCTTAGATGTTACAGCACAAGGAACACAGTTAAACCACTCTGCAGACATATTTACATCAAAAGTCAATCTCATATGACAGTTTCCACTCATGCCGTGCCGAGTACTAAAGATAGGTCATTGCTGGCTTGTGGTAGATGCTAAAAGTGTAGATTTATTTTAAGATAGCGTGACTTAAGTCCATTTTAATGCAGTGACACTCACCGGATGTTTTGAAGGGGTTTTAACAACCTTAGCCATCTTAATTCTCCTTCTGACAGAGAACGTTGCAGATACTTAGAGTGTTTCAATATAAAAACCCTATTCTTTAGTTTAGAATGGTTTCTACTGCCTTATTTTCTTAACACACTGGAAGCATTACACAAAGAATGCAACATTCATTTTTCATCAAAGATACCCAACATTTATGCTGACCGAGATTAAAATGGCATAATTCTCAGCAATGGAGTTGTTGCTGCCTCAGTTTTTGAAATAGTAAATCACTCAGATATGCATATGACCAAACATGTAGATAAGTCGACAGCTACTCTGATGGAAAAAGACTGTTCTAGGTCAACTCGAAAACAGCAATCTCTATTGAAACCCTGCAATGAAGGAATGCTGGTGCAGGGATTTCAATATTTCCACATTCTGAAGTAAGTTTCATTAAATACTGCCTCATGAACTGCTTAGTCCATTTACAGTCTTATCACGTCCCATAGCATTAACAGTGGCATATACTGAAGTGCTTAAGTAGTATACTTGCCTCCACGAAAGAGATTCAACAGAGCTGAAGTGGAAAAAAACCAACACCCTGAAAACAAGCCACCACCAAGTGGTCCATCAACCACACCCCAAATTTCCACATTAAATTAATTCCTATAAAAGGGTAAAGCCAAAATTGTTTTACTATACTGTAACACAATAAAAACACAAGTTGTTAAGACAACAGTACATGTAATATTACAATTTCACGATTCAGGTTTCACAAAGATAAGCTAACACTAATATTACTGAAGTGTCTGTCTCTGACTTTGTACTGGGCCACACATCGCCCTGTGCAACCTCACCTGGCTCCACTCCCTCTTTACCCATCCTTCCCCCAGATCCACGATGACACTACTTGCTCAGCCACGTCACACCACTCCGTCCCTGACCATCCCCATCCATCCCACCAGCAGCTCTCCTATGCTTCCTCACAAGGATGAAGCAGCAGAGCATTTCAGCTGCCTTCAACACAAGACAGAGAACTCCTTGGTCAAACCAAGGGGAACTAGAAAGAGACACAGACCCGACTCCTTCTACCTCAAAAAACCCAGTGACCCATTGCCAAGAAGGATAACCGTGCAATACCTTTGCGGTATTTTGACACCAACATTTTGAAACGTCCAGGTTTTATCGCTAGGATAAACAGTTATGCAATTCTAAAACAGATTTTTCTTGAGCAGTGCTTTTATTTCTCAGTCTTTTTTCAGTTCTTAACAATTCTTAATATTAAGAGAGCCCTGAACTTCTGTATGTCTTCAATCCTCGTAAGGACCTCACACCACAGAAAGTTTAACTTGTGGTAGTATTCTACAATTTAAGAGAGATGAATAAACTTAAGCAAAAACTTGATGTCAACAGCATGCCACCTTACAATTGTAAGACCCTACCTCCAAATCAGCTTAATTATTTTTTTCAGTACTACACCCTCTCAGCTTTCAAAACCAAGTGCAAACAGATACAGACTAAAACTGAAAAGAACTAATTATTTCAGACTGATAAATACTAATTTTACAGGCAAGCACCAATGAAGTCTAATGCAAAAAACCCCATGTAGCTATAAGACACAGCTGTGTAAGAAGAACTAAGTAAAATGCCGTCATAAACAACAACTGCTGAGGTGGAAAGTCACATCTTTTGCTTAGAGCAATCTCAAAGTTCAAACAATAAGCACATATCAAATACACTTCAGCTTAGTCATAGTGACCAGAATTCATTCCTACTTCATATCTGAAATACTGGCTTACTCAGCTGTTTTGCTGGAAAGAGACACCGTATACAATCCCAAAACAACAAGAACAAAACAAATATTTGCTGAAACACACAAGAAAACAACAAATTTTTGCTTTATTGTAAAGCAAGTAGCACTGCACACAAATACAACCCCGTATTTAAGAATTAAAACATTCCCAGACTGCTGCACATCTTCTAAATGGCCAGATGAACAGTAAAGCACTGTTTTGTTGCCTTTGTTTACAAAGCACATCTTTTATGCAAAACATTGTTCTTAAAATACAAAGATTAGCTTCATTGTTTTTAAGACAATGCAAGATCCAAGTCTCAACTCTGCTTTTTATAATGAACAGTCAGGGATAAGAATTTAAAAAAAACATATGACCATTAAAGCTACTACCATATGACTTCCAGAACTTCACGATTTTATTTAATGAGGTGTAGGGGTTGTATGTATGCAGAGGTATCTCCTATTTCCCTCTGCCTATATTTTTATGCTATATGCCAATGATTAAGGCTCAGAGTCAAGTGCCATAAGGCTATAATCCATCCCCTCTCTCAACTCTACACTGCTTACAAATGAGTTTCCCTCATGAGCAGAGTATATCACCAACCTCGCCTCACAGAATTCAAGTGGCCCATTTCTGAAAAATCCTCTGAATTCACCTGTACCCAAATTCCTTTATGTTTCCAGAACATATGAGTTATTTCTCACTCCTACCCCTTCTGAGACCCACACATTCTAGCAGGAGCTCTGACAACTCACACCAAATATTCACCCTGAAAAACACTGGGGTGCATTAAAAAAACAAAAAACCCCAGTAAACATTACTGTGTCTTTGTAGAATTGTAAAATAATGCAACTGCTGCACAGCAGCAAAGCAGTGCTATAAAGCACTTATCCAAAAGACTACCACTAGCTCAGTAAGGAAATATAACCATTCTTTTAATTAGACAACACAGCTCCAAAGCCATGGTTGCAGATGGTTATGTATCATTCTTGGCAGACCAGAATTCACACCTGCAACCCACCATGCTGACTAGTAAAATCTATGTTGAGAAGCATACACTGTAACCAAGAGAAAAAAATAGGTATTTGTAGTTACCATAAAGATATTTTGACGAGATCGAAGACTTCAACCACACCCATAATTTCCTGTCATCAAGATGCACAGGATGTGACTAAAGGTACAATGATCAGCTAATTGGGATGAATACTGGTTTCAGCTGGCCAAACATCATGGCCTGGAAGAGATTCCAGTTCCAAGCAAAGTCATCCATTACAGTCAGCAAGTCTTCTGCAGAGTGAAT